GTTACTAGGTAGATTCCAGTTCAGTTCAGCTTGTGAATCACTTGACTGTGAAGTAAACTTGCTGCTTTGAGCTTACCTAGCCTGTACATTTCTCTAATCAATATTGTGGCCTCAGTGCGTTTCACCTTCAGTTTAGTTAGTCTCTGCGGGGTTTCCATGTTTGCTCCACCAATGAGAGCCAACAGTTTCAGAACCGCTCAGCTGTGACCGTTCAGAATTTTCAAAAGGCTGTTTGCTGGACAAAACCAGCTGGTACCAGATAGGAAGGGAATACCCGTTTGTTTGCATCAGTTGCAACTCCTGATCATTATTACACAATAACAGGGAGAGACCGGTAGCTGAATTTTTGCAATAGTAGACATCTTTTTTAGTGTCTGGAAACTATGATTTTAGCCTTGGAGTTGGACCAAGATAATTTGCTTTAAGAATGTCAACACCAATGTCTATGATTTCTGAAAAAGACATCCCAAAGGTATTGTGTTTATTGTTTTCATCCTTAGGCACTGTTTTTTAAAATTTACTATGCCATTTGTTTTGTGTGGCACAGTATCTGATTGTATAGAAAATATTGTTTAATATTAAACATTATTTAGCCATAATTTTCCTCATCATAATAAAGTGCTCAAGTGGTTACAATCCCAGTATTAAATCTAATTCATAATGCAAGTTATTAATGATGCAAATTTATCAATGTTGTAGTATTTTGCAATTTTGTTTGTATTTTTTACTATTATTTGGTATTAATATACTTAATTTGTAAATATAGTAATGAGGTTGTTACATTGTCCTATTTTCATATTATTAAATTTAGATAATTATGTAGTAGTACAGTATATCATTAGTTAAATTAACTTCCAGTAATATTTGTGCCAAAACATTTATTTTGTTTTTATGTGATGAGGTTGTTGCAGTGCCAGAATTTTAATTACTGTAAATGAACAAATATGGTTTGTGGTTCTTATAAAATTTTTGATTACAGTACTTAGTTGTTACATTGTCCCATTTTCATATTATTAAATTTAGATAATTATGTAGTAGTACAGTATATCATTAGTTAAATTAACTTCCAGTAATATTTGTGCCAAAACATTTATATTGTTTTTATGTGATGAGGTCGTTGCAGTGCCAGAATTTTAATTACTGTAAATGAACAAATATGGTTTGTGGTTCTTATAAAATTTTTGATTACAGTACTTAGTAATTAAAGAGATGTGCATATCATGATCAGATTTAGAGCTTATTACAATTTATTTTAATAATTTTAGAAATGGTAATTCCATATAAATATAGCCTAGTCTAGGCCTAGAGTAGGATAAGGCTAGCGCGACATGCGGACGTTGGTACGTGTTGGTTAGTCTACAAACGTCGCCAAAAATAATTGATTTTACCCGGCAGAACGAAAGAAGGAAACTCCGCTTTTCAGTCGTCTTAGGCCCCTGTTTTTTGACAATGACCTTTCAGAGGTCAAATTGCTGTCAAGAATATGAATTGGCTGCTTTGCAGCAATTATATGAATGGCCTTTCATTTGACTATTTTAACTCTTCATCAGTATTTGTATTATAACTTACTTATTACATTCTATGAACTGTACATCATTGTTTATAAACATCCAGCATAAAACTCGAGAATGTTTTGCACATTTACTAATAAAATGTCTTGTATCTTATATACATTTATTTGTAGTTTATACATTTTGTTTTTTGTTTATAATCATACCAGTATCTTGATAATGAGTAAATTGATTGCAAGTATGTATGTGGTACAGTGCCAATGTCAAATCTATTTAATTTTATGTAACATTTGACAGTTTTTGACTTGCTGCTGTCAGTTTACTGGTTTTGCTAGTAATTTCATCATGTTTAGTAAATTAATCATGTAAGTGTATGATAGTTTGGTATACAGTGTCAGTGTTGAATTATGCCAATGTATAATTTTACAGACTCTGTAATGTCCTTAGTTTACTAATTTTTCCAGTATCTTGATTAATAGTGCGAGATTGATTGGAAGAGGTTACTATTTAACGAAGTCATGTTCAGCCAACAGAACATTAATTTTCTGCCAACATTTTTGTGTTTATTGGTTGTCTGAGTTCTAAGCAGAAAATCTTATCCAGTATGATGCATAGTCAGGTTATATGAGTATCTGTGACAGGGCCGAATCCAGAGATGTCCGAAAGTGATCGAGATAACACCACCCTAGGGGGTTTGCACAGTTTTTCTTAGATGACAAAAGTAACCTGAGGCGTTTTGGGCAATAACATTTTTTTTTTTTTTTTTTTTTTTTTTTTTTTTTCCAAAAGGAAATCTGCCCCTGTGTGTTATTGGGACCTTCATGGAGTGACTTCCTTACCCCAGGATTCATATTCAGTGAAATAGGGATATACTGGTAACTTGAATTTGGTGGTGTGAAAACCCTCTCCTAGGTGCATCTTACAATTTATCATCATTTTAATGTTATTTTTCATCATAATTAGTACAGGCGTAAACTATTGCAATTTTTCCTACGCGCAGGCTTTATAGATACTTTGTAGCCTGAAATAAACAATCTAAACTAATTCCTCCATGATCTAAAGAAGGCTATAAAGCAAACCTACGAAGCGAAAGTGTGTTGTTTATTTGTATTTGCAGAAAGACTGCTGTAGCTTACTGGAATAAACAATGTATAGTTTGGTCATTTGTGAATGACAAGCACGAGTTTAGATCGTAATTATAAAGTATGAAGCTGTTTTTCCGATAAAGAAAAACGTACATTTGATGTGATCGGGAGTCTCCCCATTCCATTCGCTGTTGACGACAGGAACTTGTTTGTACTGCTGTATTGTTATTTTTTAATTAATTAGGCTAGGATAGGGCCTAGCCTTTTTTTATTTACAATTATTTTACCTCTTTTAACTGTCAAAAAATGATGTCCTCAATGACAATACACACTTGTAAAAAGATTGTTTATCAATAATATTTACGTCCGTTGATCGTAAAATTACTGAATGCCACATGGAAACCCAATTTGGAAAATAAAACTTGTCAACCCCGAAAATCCAGCAGAACACAGTAAAGTGTGTTAAAGGTTAAACCTTGTGGCAAAATGTGGGCGACAGTGAGTAAAAAACAAAGGAAATGCGGTCCAGCATGACTAGCTTTAATTTGGCATGGTAGTGATTTTTATAGTTCATTACTATTGGATCGCTTTGCAAGCTCTGCTTCAACTTGCGGTAAACAAAAACAACGTGATCTTTATGTACAAATCGTAACAATTTGTACATGATTTGTCATTGATATTATTATTTAAAAGAGAAGTACAAAAATACTCCGAATTGGAAAATTTACCAGTATAATTACTGTCTGCTCTCCCCCTCTTTAGGGGAAAATGTAGGCTGTATATGACATTGAAATTCGAACATACTTTACTGTTAGGCCCAGCCTATAGGTAGCTAGCTAGGCAAAATACAGTTTTAAAACATGATCGATCTAAGGTAGGAACTAACAAAATAGTTCTAACATTTTTTATTAGTAAATTGCAACATTGCTCACATGTTGAAAGCTGGTAAACTATATTTCAATATTGTTTACGCATTGTTTATCAGCCCTATGATCCAGTCTACGATCATTGCAAATCTAATAATAAAATAACAATGACCTTCATAGTGGTTCGTAGCTATGTTCAAAACGTAGCTACTCGTAGGTTACGAGAGGTTACACGCAGATACGAAGCTGTACTGTACATGTAAATACTTGATTTGTTTGAGAAACATTCTCTCTGCTTAGTTTTGCACCCCCTCTGCTGGCCTCTTTATGGTAAGCAAATTGATAGTCTATTGCCTAGTTTGCTGTGAGCATACAGCTACATTATATTGCCTGTGCATTCGATACCATAAGACTAAGAGTCGACTCAACAAGTCTGTCAAAGTTTTCTGAAGGTTAAATCCTTAGTTAGTTTAGTGGATTCAGTAACAAGTTTATTAGATTAAAAGTTTGCAGTTTGTATTGCAAATAGATTTGTCTAATGCATCTAGGTATCACTTCCTTTGAAAAGGGTCACTATAAGTGCATCAGGTTATTAGTATCATTTTCATGACCTTCGCAGTGCCCGATTTTAAAATACACAAATCTCATAAGGCCATGCGAGTCCAAAGTAGGAAATCAACCATTAAATTGTGTAATTATGTAGGTTTTCTGCTTGCAGCTTTGATCAAGTTGTGATTCCAGACTAAATTTTCAATGATGATATACCTACAGTGTAATGATAAAAAAGGATGTATTAAATTTTGTTTGTACAAATCTTATAGGTTGCATCTGAATGTTAAGCTTGGTTTTCATGCAATTGTATGCTACGGTAATCAGACAAAAACCACCCAGGACAATAACCACCCAAAATGAACTATACCATTGTTAAAGTGGGGTGGTTTGTGGGGTGGACAATGTTGAGTGGGCTTGTTTTTATCTAGCTTTACAATAGGATAGTGACTTCCTATAACACGCCTTCAATTCATTAATTCTTTTGACAAGTTAATAACATCTTAGATTTCAACAATTATTGTGCTTAAAGTTGGCCATTATTTGAATGATTTAAACACAACACTTAACTTCCAAACTTTATGGTAAATTCAAATGTATTATTTGTAGTAAAGTTTTAATACATTAATGAATATATGACTGTTTTCATTCAAATCATTATTATTATTAAAGGGAATTATCTTTGTAATGTAATGTATTTTAAGCTTGTAATCCAGATTCTTTTGGATTCTCTTAAATTTTATTGTATTTTATGACATAATGTTTTTAATCTTTTTTTGAATTGCCCCATGTGGGATAATTAATGATATATTGTATTGTATCTAATTGCGATACCCGAGTAATACTCATTTAAGATTTGATTACTAGTTACTAGCAATCATTTTATAACTGCAACTCGATAAGATGATTCAAATAACATGACAGTATCTGTAAACAGTTTATTTTATGTTCTGTATTTTATAATTAATATTTTTAATTATATTTTACAGGGTTCTGGCTAGTATGGTTTGCTTTGGTATTTCTCATTGGATTTTGTGTGTGGCAGAGGAAACGTTTCCGCCGCTTCCGTGACCCTCCACTAGCACGTTGCGGATCTATCTCAGACTTCTTCCGTTCTAGGGGATGGCCATTTGAATTTCACCCAGGTAAGAACAAAAATAGCATAATTACTGTAGATATAAGCCTGAAGGTCTAATTTGCACTTGAGTGCTATGTATGTGCAAGATCTTGCCCGACTCAACACCAGTCTGCTGATTGTTGGTGGCAGCAGTCTGTGTATTGTTGAAATCTATCGCGTGCACATTTTGTTGCAATTAGCAGTGTTGTCTTGAAACATGTTACACTGAAAATTAACATTAAAGCGCATCAGCAATAAGCGTTTGATTTGTAAGTGAAAGGCGACAGCTTAATTATAAAAGGATAGAAGATGGTTTATCAAGACTTTATTGATATAAACAGTTGCGTAATGCTAGTGTTTGCATTGTGGTTTAACTAACCACTAACTAAATTGACTAAATTGATATATTTACAGTTATAAATGCTATTTCCAAACAAGGTTTTTCATCCATTTCTTTTAGTAAATAATTGTTTTTCATTACTAAATATTGATCTGTTTTCATCAAGTAGCAGGCTTACCCTATCATGCAATAGTCACAAATTTAGTTCATTGTCAACAGTTATAATGCAACTACAACTACAAGTTGAAGAATTTTGAGATTTATAAATTATTATTATTGACACCTGTGTTAATGTTTAGGACTACCATTTAAATTACTGGCATTGATGTGATTTTGCTGTTGGCTGACTACCTCAGCATAACAATTTAAAAGTTTATAATTAAATTGGATTTATTGGAACTATGCATTTCTATTCGGTAGTTTATTCCATTGTGCTTTGAACTAACAACACTTAGGTGGTTGCATATTATTTACACGTGATACACTGCATATTGGATTTCCTTACCCTGGGCATTCGTTACTCCATTGTACTTGTTAACAGTGTTTCTTTATTTTTTTTTTCTACATATTAAGTATACTTGAAGTGCATCTGCATTTTCCAGAGCGTTTTAGTTTATATTGTTCTTATAATTGAGTTGCTTTTTGAAATGATTATTTGAGATATCAAAATATTAAAGTGCCTGCACCCTTGCAGGCAAGTAGACACTTTTCTATCGTCTCTCGTGTTTGTTCGAGTAAGTTCGGTTGGAAGAATCATGGGATACCCTTCATTATGCCATAAGCTAAAGATAGGAAGGAACAGTCTTGCAAATATGTCATGCCTAGACCTGTCATGGAAAGAACTAAAAAGTCAACAATCATTACTTGTATGTAGTTATTCACGTGAATTGCCAACACAGAAAGCGGGGATGGGTTACGAGTTACAAGTAGCCAAAAAAAAAACCTTATGTTTTGTACTACACCATGTTTGTGTTATGATTGCAACATTCAATCAACAACAAAGAAAATTAACAGGTGATTTTATGATGTTGTTTCATTTTGCAGTTCCTCCATGCAAGTTACCAACCTATTCTGAAATTGGCGAGACAATCACGTATGGCACTCCTCCGCCACCATACACATATTATTGTATTTTACCAGTGAGTAGTATTTCAACACCTACAAGTCCTCAATGCTCGGGAACTGTGCAACAGTACACACAAGCAGGAAATCAGCTCACGCCAAATAGTACAACACAAGTTGCAATAGAAGCTGGGTAAGTTTAAAAGAACCCCCCCCCCCAAAACACTGTAGTAATTTGATATTCCTTGTGATGTTTTTATTAAATAGCTTTTTGTTTAGTTTATCAGTGTAAATTTAGTTTTGTTGTTTTTGAAGAAACCACTTAATTTTAATTTTATTACTAATTGCTTTTATCTCTCCAGATTGGGTTCCAATACACCAGGTGACGATCCACCTCATTATTCACAAATATCGTTGTATGATCCTTCGACTCCTGTGCCTTCTCCGAGCACTTTTCCACGTATTGCTAGTAGTGCATCTATCGGCTCTTGTTTGCCCGTTTCTAGCGAATCCAATGTTACAGCTGGTTCAACTGGTAACTTACCATTGGGAAGTCCTATGAGGCACACACTGCCCAGAACACATGCATCTCAAATCAGACTTTTGGCTAGCCCCCAACGATCCACCATGGTTAGAATGAGTGGGCATCCTGGTAGTTATGAAACGCTGCTTGCCACTACCTAGCAGGCACTTACAAGCCCTGAGGATTTTAATACTAGAAGACACAAGACCTTGCTCCTCGCTTGATGAAAACAGGCAGAAGAATGAAAGACTGCTTTTAAGATGATGAATTAAGTTGAGAATGTTTGCTCAATTGTTCAGACAATGGTTTGATACAATAACAGCTTTTCCTTGTCATTTAATGACAGGTCTAAACAAACAGGAAAAAAAAAAACAACCTTGTTAAATTAAACAAAGTGCAAATTCTTAATTGGGTATTGGTTATGTTTAAATTCAACTGTAATACATAGTGACAGTGATATCATTGTTTATTATTTTTAGGCAAAATTTCACTATAGCAGAGTTAGAATAAGAACATATTACCTTGTTTACATTCATTTTAACTAAAGTGTATTGCATCTCTCACAAGGTTAGGCAGCTGCCTAAAGACAATAAAGACTACAACAATGTTAAATAGCACAGCAAAGTTTAGCAGGGACCATTGTTGTATATAAAATGAAAGTATCCTCCACTAGTGGTAGAATATGTAACATCATGAAATTTGCCACAAAATGTTTCCATAACTAGATAATGAGGGGCTACCTCATATTTAGTTGGTCTTTCTCATCAGTATTACTTTTTCATTTGTGTGTGATCTCGATATATTACTTCAGTGGTATTTTTAATGTTCCATATTTATTTTTTCCTCCATGATTACTTTTGTTGTAAAGCTTCTTTTTGTCTAAAACATAGTCACTATAGGAGGTTAAACCCATTTTTTTTCATATAATCATAAAAATAGCAGGCTACTGTATATGTTTTGATCCTTGAAGTGTAATACTCGATGATTCCAGAACTAATGGGATAAGATATTTGCTTCTTGTTTTTTCTGTTCAAGAAGTGGGAAACAGTATAATCAACTGATTTTGCAATTCTAGCAAGAATATAAAATTGTTTGTGATGTATGTTGTATCAAACATGGTGCAAAGAAAGACATTTAACATGGTGCACTGATGTTGTATTGCTTTAAATCTATTTCTGAAAGACTTTCTTTGGAAACATTTGTTGATGCTTGTGTTCGATATCGAGATGCTGCATACATTTTTTTTTGTTAAAGAATATTTTTTTCACTTACAATGAATTGTAATGGACCAGTCTTGAAAGTGCCTATACATTAGATCTAGCAGTGTTTTTCTTTCTTCACTATTATTAGCTGTTGTCTAGATTTTGTACTGCTTTAAAGAGAAACCAAAAGTTGTTTCTAATATTCAAGTTATTCTTTGTATCAATCATTTAAAACCTTTCAGAATATCTTTACATGAATGGATTATCTAATATTATAAACAAATTATGTTAGCACTTACAAAAATTATCTTTATATATGTCTCAAAAGTTACACGGTGTACCAGATATTTTGATTGATACAAAGAATACATAGAAAACAGCGGTATGTTTTGTAATTTTGTACTTAAAATGGGTGGTAATATTATTTGTATTTTTGTGATGGTAAACTTTCAACTCTACACACTGGTTCATATTTTAGCTGCAAAAAATAAGAAAAAAAATCAATGTGGATTTATTTAGTATGTCACGATGCCACTTAATTTGATTCTTCATATTTGTCAGGCAGAAGCTTGTACTACATAACAATGTTGATAAAGGGGGGGGGAAAGTGGCCTATTAAAAAGATAATGTTGTATTATTGCATGTTGAGACCAAAGTGAACTTTAAACATGCTCATCATAATATAATATTTTGCTTAAAATGCCTGTTCTAAGGCATCACTGATAAACAAGTTATTATTCTGTTTTATTTTTAAAGAATAGTTTAT